CCAGAAACGTCCGCGGGGCTACGTTTCCAGAATGAGCTTGTCCTCCAGATTCCTTGAACCTTTAATGATGATCTGTACTGTTGAAGGTGAAATATCTAAATGTCTTCCTATCTTTCTTTGAGGAACAATGTTTCAATCATTTTCTCATGTATTTGTTGTCAAACTGGCAATCCTCTGCCCATTTTTGCTCTTAAAGGACTAGACCTTACTTGGGTGCTGCTTTTTTTCCAAATCATAATTAAAATCATCTGTTGACATCACCTGTCTCGAATCGCATCATTATTTTGTCTGGAATGTGTTGCAGATCTGAATGATAGGAAAGTAAGTATATTCACAAATAAAATAAAGTTGAAAAGACACAACGTCAAATATTTTGTGTTCAAGTTGTCAAGTAAATTTGGAAATCACTACTTTCTTTTTTATGTGTTGTGTTGTGCATTTGTGTGTCTTTCTTTTACTTTACTTAATCCTTACTTTTAATTTTGTATTCAATGTCAAATCTTTTGCTGAAATTAATCATGGTTTCTAAGTTTTCTTTATATTGTTGCACTATGTGTTCTTTGTTGTGGAGTTGTTAGTTTGAACAACTTGAGGTAAATGCTACATGCATTGGCTTTTGCTCTGGTAGTGTGTGTGTGACAAATTGGTTGTATGTAGTTTAATATAGTCAAGCATCCTTGAGCCCTGAAAAGGCAGCATTTTAATTAATCATTAATAATACTGTGTAAAGATATTTTGACATTTTGGCTGTCAATTGTGTTTCATTGGCGAAATTCCCACAGAACACGTAGCATAAGAAAAATGAAACCAAAGACAGTCAATAGAAAAATTAAGAGATCCTGGTTTACATCCTGATCATATGATGATCAAACATTGAGTGTTTAATTTCGTGAGAAGTACCTGCAGCTCAATCAACAAAGCACTACACAAACAAAACTTCTGTTCACAAGCAACAAGAAATAAACTGATAAAATGTCCAACTTTTACATAATCATAACACCTTTTAACTTATTTTTTGACATTTAAAATGTCCACTAAAATACTGTTGAAGAAAATAAAATAGAAGACATTTTGAAATAAAAAAAAAATGTACAGTATTATTTTAATCAGTTTTTTATCAATATCAGACCCTGGAAACTGTTGCAGAATTTAAGAATCTTATATAATCTATGTCAGTGGTTCTCAAACTTTTTTCACCAAGTACTTCCAGAATGACAAGTATTGAAATACAGTACCGTTGTAGGCATAATTAAGCAGCGACAGCACAGTTTAAAAAAATAAATATATACACACATACACATATATATATACAAAACACATTCAGGGCATGTCAGAATCCACTTTTGCTAATATAAGGACGGAAAAATCTGCTTTGCGCCATGATCAAAAAGGGTTGATCTTATTTTCTTAACGAGTTATTGGTGTGTTTTGAGAATAAACCAGAGTCAGAGTCAATCAGACTCTGAGTCTCATCTCCCATTCCCTTTAAGTGTCAGTTGCTCACGCCATGATGCATTTACTATTTACATGACAAAGTAAGTGTAAGTGGAAAAACTGAGCATTTCACTAGCAAGAAAACAGCTAAACAGAGCATTTGCAGCGCGAAAATGAGAGATAAATTATTAACATTCACTTTCGCTCTCGTGGATGAGGAAACCTTGTACGCACAGACATCAATTAGCCTATAAATAATTAATTTTGTTTGTTAAAAATAAACATTTACTACATTTCAAATCTACATTTAGATTAGATTTAGGCAAATGTGTTTGTATGTAGCTTTGATGTGATTTATTGTAGTGCATGTAGTATCACATATCACAGATAAATCAGATCTGTCCATAAAATTTTGCTAAAAAGCAAAGCCTTTACAAGACCTTTAGATTCTCCCCTTGAGTTGAAAAAAAATGCAGTAAAGCTGCGAACACACTGGACTTTTCTTCCCATAGACTCCCATTCATACGCACGCGAATGTGTTAGACTGGAACCGCAGGGTCATGCGTTAAGTTTCGCAGGTTGCTGCAGTGCAAAGTTCAAGCTTGTTAAACTGTCCTGTGAAATCGCATCACTTGACTGCATCAGACCAATCGAGGATCAAAACACGACCTCTCTGGACAGAAATTTAAAACATGGAGCAATGGCTCGCTTTTTTTAATGACTATTAATCTTGACAGAATTTTGCATTATCAAACTCTAGTATGACCACAGCTTAAGCCAGAGACAATAGCACAATGTCCAAATAAAAAGTGCTCTTCATCAGCCAATGACAACCCAAGCTCATTCTGAAAACGTAGTCCCGCTGACGTTTCTGGAGACAGCGGAATACGTCCCGGGAGGTACGTACGGCTGCATTTATTCTTTTCAAGCGAACGCTGCAGGACGGTGTGACGCTATTTCCTTTCACGCTTGCCGGCCGACCGCTTAACTCCTTGTGGAGGGCTTTCCCGCTGCAACCCGTTTGTCCACTCAGCTCATCGTGTACGTCGCCACGCTCGAGATGTAGAGAGGAGTTGACCACAGCGACCGGTTTCGAGTCGGGTGAAGAGCAGTTCCAGCAATCAGACAAAAACAGAATCCCAAAAATTAAGTGAATGAGTTTCGTAACAGTGAGAACGTGGTGAAATCCGAAAACGCGGTAAAAAAAAAAAAAAAAAACTGGGCTTTTATTTTTTGGATGGCTTTTGTAAACGGTTGCTCGGGTTTAGGGAAGCGAGCGGGCGGGTCAGCCGATTGGCCGGTCGCGCAGTCAATCATCCGGTCAGTCGGACAGTGGCCTCTGGTGGGTTCACGCGAGAACAAAACGGGCGTGAACCGCACTCGCGAGAAGCGTCTGAGGTGTGAAAAAGCGCACAACAGCGGCCTCTCGCAGATTCGCAAAATCGAAAACTTCAGCCGCGGGACTACGTTTCCACAATGAGCCTGGGTTGGGCAATGAGCATGTCACCAAACAAACTTGACTTGAGAGAAAACCAGAGTAGTGAAAAACATAAAACGGAACCGACTGAATACCCAGCAAATCTGGCTAAAGTGTGCTGATTAAATCAGCTGATCCATGCATATTCTGCTAGAGCAAAAGCTAAACAGACACACCTATCCTCGCAGACCCCAACAAACACTCATGATACATAACATTCAGAAATAATACACAGAAATAAAACTGTGAGAGACACACCAGAGCAGGTGTATTACCTTTAGAGTCTATGCACACATCTTGCACACAGCAATTCCTGTCTAACCTGTTCTGGAGAACGACAAAGACAGAAGGAATGAGGAAGAGGATTGAAGTGAGGTACTGAAAGTGAGCTGTCGGTGTGCTTTAAATGAGGTAGAGCTCTTTATCTTTAATTTGGAGATCTGCAAATATTTTAACACTAAATCAAATGGCCTGTTTCTGTTCATTTTTATGTTTAATTTAGTGTCTGTGTTGCTGTAAGTTTCTCCGTTTCAGTGTATAGATTATAATGTTTACAGGACTTTAAGTTTCATCACATCGTTTATTAAGATGTAAAACTATCAAGACCCTCAATCAAGACTACAGGTAAGGTGGATCCATGTTAATAGGATACAAATGCGCATTTGTACAGTTTGCAGCAAGTTGTAGTAAGTTGTATCTGAATAAGCCAGCGTAAGTGAAACTGAAACCAGACATGGTGTTTACAATTAAGTTGATTGAACAAAAACAACAAAGTTGTCGCTATAAAACCTCAAGAACTGTTTCTCAGCTAATTTAAAATAATTAGCTTGAACAAGCAGTAACAATATATTGATTGTAATGTGTTTGTTGCTTTGATGTGATTTATTATAGTGTGTCGTATCATTGTATCTGCTTAATGCTGAACACTGATCTGTTCATACAATTTGGCTAAAAGCAAAGCCTTTACAAAACCTATAAACAAAATTATACATATAAACATGAGTGCTCAACAAAAGTTTGAAGTAGAAAAATGCTGATTATTAGACTTTTCTTTGACGCTCACTGTTGCTGATGGCCAACGTTAGAATCTGTTAGTGTTTCAGATATTATTGACATTTCTTCACTGAGTTGTTTGACTGTAGCATTTGACTAATAGCATTTCTTTTTTTTATCTTAGTATGTCAGACGATTTTTTACAACATTGTGCATTAATAAATCAGTTTATATGTAAATTGTTATCTAGGAGTTAGTTTGTGTTTGGGCAGTGTTAAATTCTTAAAAAGGGAAGATTTCACAAAATAAAAAAAGTAAAATAACCAGTGGGGCAGTGGGTTGCATAATCGCCTCACAGCAAGTAGGTCACAGGTTCGAGCCTCGGCTGGGTCAGTTGGCATTTCTGTGTGGAGTTTGCATGTTTTACCCGTGTTTGCGTGGGTGCTCCAGTTTCCCCCACAGTCCAAAAACATGTGGTATAGATGAATTGGGTGAGTTAAATTGTCCGTAGTTCATGAGTGTGAATGAGTGTGTTTGGATAATGGGTTGCAGCTGGAAGGACATCCACTGCGTAAAACATATGCTGGATAAGTTGGCGGTTCATTCCGCTGTGGCAACCCCAGAATAATAATCGGACTAACCCCAGATTACTAAAGGGACTAAGAAAATGAATCAATTAATAATCTTCCTTACTCATAATCTGAAATGTGTGCAGTAACAGGCCTCAAAACACAAGCAAATTTTCAAACACAAAAAGATTTTCTGCCTCACTTGAGTCAAAGCTCTGAAGACTATTGTTAACATAGAAATATTTATCTACTGAGTGTCTTCTGACTCACTGGGATCAAGGTCATGTTTATGTAGGGTGAATGCACACACCTTAGTCTTATATTGTGTAGATCTGAGTGTATTCAATGCAGGTGAGTGGGCTTGACAAACCACCAGTAGAGTACACTCTTTGCTCTCCTTATGCACCAATCACTTTATTAGACACACTTCTATGTTTTCTCTCTGTGTGTGTGTGTGTGTGTGTGTGTGTGTGTGTGTGTGTGTGTGTGTGTGTGTTTGTATAGCTAATATTTATTTGAACTATTTTTCATATTTTGTTTCATTTACTATAACTATAACATATTTCTATCTAAAATTGTCTATTTTGTATTACATGTATTTCATAATTTAGATTCTTATTGACAATTTTTTTGCTAGTTTTTTTTTAAGGTTACAGGCTGTGGTATAAGCAGTTTTGATTAAGGCATAAGTAACAGGTGGATTATTTTTATTTGTGCATCTTTCAAATAGAGCTTTTTCAATGCTAGAGCTAATGTTAGCATTTCTAAATAAACAGTGACTGGTTATTTTGTGTACATGTACATATTTACAGAGCCCCTATTATGGGTTTTTGAGAATGACCTTCCATGTAGTGTGTAACACAGCTCTAAGTGAAGTAAAATATCCAGCTGAGGCCTAAATCTGTAAGTGGACAGTGTTTAAAACTATTGATTCATCTATAAAAGAGTTGACTCATAATGGTTCAAATGAATCGTCTTGATAACGAGTCCTTAGCCGTTTCGGTGTGACGTCAATATGAAACTTAAGCTCCACCCAGTTGTTGCACATGCAAACTCGGGAAAATTTAAACCTGTGGCCCCGCCCACAAACACTGTAGCAAAAAAAAAAAAATGAGGAAGACACGCATTGTATTCAGAAAAGAATTAGACAAGTCTATTGATGTGTGGGACTTTGTCAAAGCTCGACAGGAACTTTATCAGTACATGGATCAGTGGATCCAGGATCAGTGAGATGTCGGAACTACTATGAGTGTTTCGGGTGGCCGTACCAAAGTGCTAAGAACTTGGTGGGGAGATGTTGTCTAATGTTATGCTATTTTTAGATAAATATCCAATACACTTTGGAAAGAAGTCCTAGTTCTCCTCGTTCTGTATGTCCTGATCAGGATTATTTGCTGATTATAAATAGAGCATAGCAGTTTCTTTTTCTCTCCAACATCACTAACTAAACAAACTGAGCTTCAGAGATAAACACAGATCTTCATCTTTCTGAGAGTTGTGTGGAGGTGAATTTAGGTGACAGTGACAAAGTCAATTAATAAATTCAGTTTCATTTTCATTTGCATATTTACACAACTTTTATATTTCCATCCAGGTTCAAAATTTAACAGTGATGTGTAAATTAAAGGCAGTTATTGTAATAATAAGCCAGACTCTCTGACTCTTACAGGCATGTGCTTCATGTGAAAACATCACATGAATAAAACATCTCACACGTCTCCTGTGAAGTGGAATTATCAGACGTTTCTCAGGTGAAAAGCTTTTCTTTCCATTTGTCTTCCACATGGTGAGATTAATTAATAGTAAAAAAATGACTTAATGTCCCCCATGTGAAATAAATACTATAGTATTTTATATTAATAAGTGTTATTAACTATAGCAAAGTGTAGCATACTGAAAATATATTAGAATATTTACATTAACTCTGTGTTAATGAATGCTATAGCATACTGTATTATTAACTAGTGAACCTAAAACACTGTAGTGTACTTTACCTAGTATACTACCTAGTGTACTAGTTTTGGGAACACTTTATGTTGAAGGGTTTATTTGAGTATTAGTAGACTGTTTGCTTAATATCTGCTGATTCTGCTCCTTCAACAGACATTTAACTGACTATAATAAACTTTACAAGTACATGTCAACTTACACTAACCCTAACCTAACAGTCTACTTATAATTTAATGAGAATTAGTCGCAATGTAACTTATATTCAACAAACAGACCATCAAAATAAAGTGTGACCTTAGTTTTTACTATGGTAAACTGTGGTGTATTGTAGTCTAATATACCCTATAGTCCTACAGAATCTAGGATCACCACAGGGGAATGAACAATCAACTACTATGGCATGTATTTTACGCAGGGAATACAACAATAAACAAATGTAAATCAGCATAAATAAACTGTTGTAGAACAGGTAAAATTACTAAAGGAACCAATTGCTGACTTTATAAAACTTAAATTAGAAATCCACGTGAAAACAAACAAAACGTAATTCTCGAAAAACACAAAGCAAAACTCTAAAAATATTTGAACTGGCATGAAACAAAAAAGAGGGGCAGGAGTGACATAATAGAGAAGCAAAACAAAGGCAAATGAGAACACCTGAAATCCATATACAATTAAAGGAACATGGGACGTGGAGGTTCAACCAAATAAATAAAGTCTATTTGCAGTGTCCTCTAGCCTCGTAAATAGGTACTACTAAATCTAGGGTTGTGACAGTAAATAAATAAACTGGCTACACCAGAGCCGGATTCACCAAGGCCCCGTGAGGAGGAGGAGAAGGTTGAGGTTTTTTTTTTTTTTTTTTTTTTTTTTTAATGAAGAAAATAATAATCTTTTATAATTTAAAAATAAAAATGAATTTTTAAGATATCTGTGTGCTGCTGTGCATCCCTGTGTGTGTAATTTGTAAATTTTGAAAAAAAAAAAAAAAAAACTTTAGAGAAGCTTTTTGTTAGTCAATGGTGTGGTCTATTTCATTTGCCTCAAAACACTAACATGCCAACAATGTGCCTTAACACACTATTTTTTTTTACACCAGCACACCTATGGTGCATACATGCATTTGCAATTTAAACAAGATGTGAAAAGGATACATGTGTTAGCTAAACTTTTTGAAAAACACTTGTGTCGTGCCTGACGCAATATTTTGACAGATGTATGATAGGTTCCCATGTGTTTACATGCAATTACAATACTATTTTTCATGTGGGATGAACAATTGGTCTCCACACATACATGTACCAAATACACACACATGTAAAGCTCTCTCCAACTTTACCTGACAGAAGAACTCTAACATGGGCAACAAACAGTCAACCTCAAACCCTGGCTACACATTAGTAAAGAGTAACGATGAGAAGATCCTGGCGAAAAATGAAAGTGGTGATCAGTTTGCGGTTAAAAAGCTCAGAGCTGGACAGGTGAGGGATGAATTTGCAAACTGGACATGGAGTTACATTATGCAAACCAGAAGTGTACTTTTATTGTAAAGAAATAAACTCTGATATACTTTATGTCTGTCTGTGTTCAGGAAAAGGATGTGAACTTTCTGCTGCATCTTAATCATCCACACATCGTCCATCACAAGGAGATCATCAGAGGTACCAAAACATTCATACTATTTTAATATGTTTTAGGTCAGCTGTAGACATTTGCACACAGTTTGATTGTGTTAATGATGTAAAATACAGTAATGGATGAATCCTCTTTAGATGGTGACTGTATATATCTAGTACTGGACTACTTTGAGGCTGAAGATCTCGCTGAGAAAATAAAACACAAAACACAGACAGCAGGACAATTTTCTGAGAAAGAGGTACAGAATGGTTGTAAAATTGAAAATATTTAAAGGTAGGTAACGTTCATCCACCCATGGCAGTCCTAGTGCACTATAAGGGGCAGTTCACGCAGAATGTGTTTTTCCTTTGCATTGTGCATTTGACAGATGTGTGACCGTTGTGCTCACTTCTGTCCAGGTTAAAGGACCCATGATCCCCAGTTAACCATACATACAGTTGAAGTCAGAATTATTCGCCCCTTATTTATTTTTTTTTCCCCAATTTTTTTTTTTAACGGAGAGCATATTTCTTTAACACATTTCTACATATAATAGTTTTAATAACTCATTTCTAATAACTAATTTATTTTATTTTTGCCATGATGACAGTAAATAATATTAGACTAAATATTCTTCAAGACACTTCTATACAGCTTAAAGTGACATTTAAAGGCTTAACTAGGGTAATTAGGGTAACTAGGCAAATTATTGTATAGCGATGATTTGTTCTGTAGACTATCGAAAACAAAAATAGCTTAAAGGGGCTAATAATATTGACCTTAAAATGGTTCATAAAGAAATAAAAACTGCTTTTATTCTGGCCAAAATAAAATGGGGATTAATAATTCTGACTTCAACTGTATATGGAGATTTAATCTCTTATTAAAGCATTTTCATCATAAAGTAAGAAAATTAAACATTTTAAAGATAAAATTATCTGCAAAGGAGTGCAAGAATCGCACAAGGATTTTATTTTTATTTTTTAAGTCTATTACAAAGAGAACCGAACGCACAAGTTACACTGGTTGCTTTGTGTGAGGAAAGAGGAGGTTGCAAGTTTTTTAACACTTGCATCAAATCACATTCATTATTTACTCGTTCTGTTTTCCATTCAGGCCACTGACAATATTATTTACTACCCAAGCCTCTCTTACACAGGCCATACTTATCATCAAGCCCTACTTTTCAGAGGACTACCATTTAGATAGATAGATAGATAGATAGATAGATAGATAGATAGATAGATAGATAGATAGATAGATAGATAGATGATAGATAGATAGATAGATAGATAGATAGATAGATAGATAGATGATAGATAGATAGATAGATAGATAGATAGATAGATAGATAGATAGATAGATAGATAGATAGATAGATAGATAGATAGATACTTTATCTGTATGTTTCCTGATGCTGAAGTTGCATGTCAGAAACTAAATTCACATTTCATCTATTTTCAGATTTTGGACTGGACTGTGCAGATCTGTATGGCTTTAAAATACCTGCATGATCAACAGATCCTACATAAAGACCTGCAGCCCAAAGTACAAAACAAACTCAGTTCATGCTTCTTGCCTTTCAATACTAATTCTAACAGTGAAATGGTCATGAAAAATCCTTCTACACAACCAAATAAAACAATATTAAAACATATCTAAAAAAAAAAAAAATTATATATATATATATATATATATATATATATATATATATATATGAAGAGTTCAGATGCAAAAGCTGCTAAACGCCATTTCCGCCAAAACTGAAATAATGGCATTGAGTGAATGCTTTAGGAACAAAGTACACAATCAACAAATAGATTTGCTTCAAATAATCTAAATCGCAGCGTCAGCACATTCAGAAATAATTTTGTTGGCAAAAACAGCTAAACGCCACCTGCCTTTGACAGCAAAAAGCCGCTATATCCCGAGAACCAATCAGAATCGAATCATGTTTTCAATGTAACAGTGCGCTGATACGCCGGCTTTATGAGGAGACTGCTTTATTCTGCTTTCGATTTTAAGACGGAGTTTGATGAACTGGATGAGGCTGTCGGACTGTTAGTGAATGGCAAATGAAAATGTCCCTTACCTCAAAACTCTGTGCATTATAAGGAAAAGAAAATAAACTGTACTGTCGGAAGTGTAGCATGCATTCATAGCATTTGTTTGTGCAGCGACGCTACTTTGAATTAGTCTGATTTACTATAGCTACATTAAACAGCAACTCCATTTCACTTTACATTCTAAAATGACTCTAAAATGTACTGCAGAGAATTTTACATCCAGTAGAAAGAGAGATGATGTAGCAGAATGACTGTGACCTATCCAGGCTACTAACAATACAGTATATTATTGGCAACGTGAATGCACAAGACAATGCAGGAAAAGATAAGAGCCAGAATCACAACTGATCTAAGTCTGTTAAAAGTATGGTAGAGGTAAAGTAATTATCTGGTAATATTCAATTCAATATCTGTTAATATCTGTGAATAGCTTGGCTGTATTCATATTAGACACAACAGGCCTATATGTAAACTCCAATGCCATGATAAAATGCAGATGTTTTTTTTTTATTATTATTGTTGGCATTATTTCTATCACTTTAAATTCAAGTGATTTACAACACAAAACTGTCATGCACAAAGTGAGCATGATAAACAGCTTCCACAATATAATGCCCGTGCTCCGATTTCCTCTGTGGACAAAACTGATTGTGAGCTCTCAAATACACGCTGCTCATGTGCAAATTTTCTCACGCTCTCTAAAAATATGCACTGCTCACTCACAGATTCTCTTGCGTGCTCTCAGTACACTGCTCGCTCAGTGAGATTATATGCAGACTCACAATTTGTCTTGCATTCCCTCTAAGCAAAATTGTTTCTACTTTATAATAAATGTTCTCAACTCACAGCAATAAAACTTTAAAATGAGTGCATTTGTTTGTATTCAGTACTTTATTATTATTATTGTTTTCCAATTTCCATATCTGCAATTCCTGTATTTTGGCATTTTTTTGCAGTCCACTTAGAATCCAACATGGAAATCAATGTTTTCTTTATTGGCATTGATTGTTTAAAATTCAAATGGCATTAACAGGCCTGTGTTTTGATTTCTGTAATAAATATGGCTGTCAAGCAGGATCTTGATGGTTTATTGTGGGTATGTTGTTTACATAAATAAATCTGTGTTACAAGTTAAACAAAAATTCAAATAAACAATTATATTATGGATTTAAATAGTTTTTGTCTTGCGTTTACATTAATTTTACATTTGAATCAACAAAATTACAAGTTTCAGTCTTTTAAATGTGATTAATCGCGATTCATTTTTAAAAAAAGTGTGATTAATTAGTTATTTTTTTAAATCGATTAAAAGCACTAATATAAATACACACACACACACACACACACACACACACATATATATATATATATATATATATATATATATATATATATATATATATATATATATATATATATATGGGATCAAGTGCTGATGAAAGTTATCTGTCATAATCAAAATCGTTTTCCTGAAGTATTCTTTCAGATTTTGTCACATAAGAATTGAAGTGGTTTTGTAATCCTCTACATTCCCAGTATTTATCAAATGTGTGTGTTTTCTTATGGCAGAGCTTATTATTCACTGCATGTGGGACCATTCGTTTGGGAGAGTTTGATAAAAAGTACTGAAATCCAGATTCTGTTATCTTTAGTTCAAACTATAATTTATCTTTTCCACATGATGAACCTGCTATATCATGTATTTCTTTCTATCAGGTTCACTGATGCACCAACAGCAGAATCTGAATCTCTTGCAAATGTTGCACCTGAGATATTAAGTGGCAAATCTTATAATAAGAAAAGGTAATAAACTAGATCCCGTTGTTTAACTGATGTATATTTTTTTATTCCAATCAAAAATTTTTTTATAAATGTTTATTTTCCTTTGCAGTGAAATCTGGAGGTTGGGATGTGTTATAAATGAGATGTGCACACTAAGGAGGGCTGTAAGATTTATTTATTTATTTTTTATTTTATGTTTGTTATTTATATAAGAACTATACCCGTCAGCTAAGGTGCAACCACAGTGATGAAGGAACATAGCATGAAAACATCCACTATGTGGAAATATATGGACAACGCCAGAGTGGTTAAACCTTGCCACTTTTTTTTATAAGTTTGCCAGGCTCCAGCGTGAGTGCACCATCATCACCAAAGAAGCAGCCCTCCAACGTGTCCCCAGGCCCTAACTTACCTTTACATACATTTACATTTAGTCATTTAGCAGACGCTTTTATCCAAAGCGACTTACAAATGAGGACAAGGAAGCAATTTACACAACTATAAGAGCAACAATGAAGAAGTGCTGTAGGCAAGTTTCAGGTGTGTAAAGTATAAGAAGCAAAGCATTAGTAAAGTTTTTTTTTTTTTTTTTTTTTTTTTTTTGAGTACAGTTAGCGGTGGAGCCAGAGAGGCAATTGCAGATTAGGAAGGAGAGCACGAGAGTTTGGGAAAGTGAATTCTTCCCTCTTTGGGATGGAACCACGAGGCGACGTTCATTCACAGGGCGCAAGTTTCTGGAGGGCACATAAATCTGACATACAAAACAATTAATGGTATACAACAATATGTTGGCAAAGCATACCTATCCCGAAGTGGCAGGACGGTGCGGAAGCCAGTTGCTACCCAGATGGGGAGACCTGGTGGCAGAAGACATATGGGCTTATCTCTGGCAAGGGGGAGTACACATATGAGAGATGGTTAGCGGGGAGAGAAGACATGAGCTCGCATGAGAAGAGGGGACTACACAGTGGCTGAGTGAAAGATATGGGATCACACCACCACTGAGTCAGGTGGGGAACTCAGTTGAGCAGAGTAAGAAAAGCGCATGCATCTCTGTGTTAGAGAGAAAGGCACAGAAAGGTTTTTTTTTTTAACCCAAACTGAGTTTCCTTATTCACTGGGGTTATTCAGCACACCTGAGGAAACTGGTGCCACTCAAAGATCATAAAATCTCCCAAATGTGTTAGGTGTCACCCAGCCCAAAGCTCTACAGACGTCTGTTAGAAAGGTGCTGCGTGCTAATGCCCAATAGAAGGTGACACTCCTTGTAGAGTGCACTGTCACCCCCGGGGGACGCGGCTCACCCTGGCACTGATAAGCGAGAATGATGGCATCCACTATCCACTGGGTCAAACTCCGTTTGGATATGCCACTTCTCTTCTGTCGACCACCATAACTGACAAAGAGCTGCTCAGAAGATCTGCAATTTTGAGTGCGGTGCACATAAAAATTGCAGAGCATGAAAAGGACACCGCAAAGATAGGGCTGGGTCTGCCTCCTCCATGGGCAGCACTTGCAGGTTCACTACCTGGTCTCTAAAGGGTGAGGCAGGAACCTTGTGCACATATCCAGGCCGGGGTCTCAGAATAACGTGAAAGTAGGTTGGCCTAAACTGTAGGCACAAATCACTGGCCGAAAATGCCTCCAGGTCCCAGACCCTCTTGAATGATGCCAACGCAACCAGCAGAGCTGTCTTCAGGGACAGAAATCTCAAGGATACTGAGTTAAGTGATTTGAACAAATCTCTCTGCAAATCCGTGCTCCATCTATCTGGGTGCAGGAGTCAAATGGTGCCCTATCCCTGGGAGAGAAGGTTCTTCCTCAAAAGGATCTGCCAGGGAGGGGCAGTCGCAAGGAGAGAGAGTTCTGATATCCAGGTCCAGTTGGGCCAGAGAGGTACAAATTACAAGACCTGCTCCTCGTCCTTTCTAACCTTGCACAGTGTCTGTGCGAGTAGGCTCACTGAGGAAAATACGCATTTGTGCATGACCTGGGGTCAGCTATGGGCCAGTGCATTGGTGCAGAAGGGGAGTAAAACCACTGGCAATGGGTGGACTTGAAAGATGCAAATAGGTTGACCTTGACTTCTCAGAAGTGCGTTTATATCAACTGAACAGAACCAGGGTGGAGCCTTTATTCTCCCAGCTGTCTAAGCTGCCATGAGAGCAAATAGACTTCATGATTGAACTTGCGGGTATGTTGTATGACATGCACCAATTTTTGCCGCATATGACTCCAGAGAACCAGACGGCGAGTGAGCTGAGACATGCAGCGATGCATGCGGGTGAAATACACCCCCATCGCCATGCTGTTCTCCACCCAGTGTGTGCCTGCGTGCCATGTGCATCTGGGGACCCGAACATAAAGCCAATCCTGAATCTATCTCATATGGAGCAATCTGAGTGCCGTGATCGCAGCTATGGATACCATATGCCCCAGGAGACTCTGGAATAATTTCAGTGGGACCACAGTTTTCCTGTCAAACTATCTTAGACAGGTTAGCATCAGCTCTTCACGCTCTCAGGAGAGGCATGCCCTCATGTAATTCAAGTTCATGTACCGGCTCGATTGCATCCTTCGCCAGGAGGACAGCAATCTACTTGCGCAAGACAGGGGCGGACACAGGGTTGAAACTGATAAATAGAAACCTGTGAACTTGAGGGTCCGTTTAGTGAACTGAATCTCATAGCTAAGTCTGACTGTGAGTGACATCATTCGGGACAATCGCTGATGCACCAGCGGTGGGGCAGCACGAGATGGAAGCGCTCATCTCGGGAGGTGTTGCAAAGAGCACTGATTCTGCGAGCTGGAAGGCCTTGTGTCCAATGCTGGCAGTGTTCGGGCTGTCACACCTGGAGAAAAAAAAAGGCACTGCTCTTTTATTAAAGCCAGCAGCCTGGTTTTGTAATGATATAGATGTCCCCGGTCGTCTACCGAGGAATGAGCAAGCCTACTCTTCTCAAAGTTGCCCGTCTCAGCAACGATTTGTGGTCCATTTACCGGACTTAGAAACACCCTGGGGCAGGGTCGCTGGTCGTCTGCGAGGTTTTCGATGCTGCCACTTGTGGAGCGGGCTGGGGGGCAGAGCAGGTCAGAGCAGGTCTTGGAGTTGCAGACAGGCATCTTTGGTGAGGAGCAATCCCCTCGTGCAGCTGGGCCAACACATGCACCTGATGGTAGCACTGGTACGTCCCCATAGCATGCAAGACGGAAGCAGCCTGGCCCGCAGCAGTGTAGGTTCTGACCCCGAGGGATGCAGACAACCTACAATCTTTGGACAGGAGACAAGGCTGACCAGCAATTAATACCGAGTTTTTTGTTTTAACTCATAGTGAGATCCATGGTTGTTTGTTTGTTTTGCAAGAATTCACAAGTCATTGTTTTAAAGTCCTACAAACTGCGTATTTTCATTCATTCTAGTTTTCATCAAGAAACTCAGATGAGATTGTTAAAAAGATACGCAGAAGCTCCTATGAACATCTTCCTGAGAACTTCTCTGAGGATCTGCATGAGCTGATAAAAGACACCCTTCAGGTTAGGCCAGCGGACCGTCCGTCTGTCAGTGAGATCCTAAAGAGGCCTTTTATCATCAAACACCTTAACAAAATGGTAAATCTGATTACTAATGTTTAGATCAGTGGTTCTCAATCCTAGTATTCACAACCCACCGCTCTGCATATTCTGCATATCTCGCTTGTTTAACACATCTAATTTAGAAAGCAGGAGAGCTAGAAGAACCCTTGTTTATGTTCCCTACATAGTGTTCCCTATTCTGCTCACTATCTGCTTGAACTTGTAGGATACTTCATTACAAAAAAAAAACACAGTTTGCAGTGGAAGCAGAAGTGTGAAGAGTTATGTAAACATAATCATGAGATGTGCATAGTCACATCTTTACCACTTTGAATTGAATATGTTTCTTTCAAACTGAATCATGGCAGAATAACCTGTGATGATGACGACTTTGGACATTTATGTTTGTGTGACCCCACCGGTCCTACGCCACCCAACCTGCTCCAAGCTGGTATCGAACGGGCAACCTTCCGCAAGGGAGTCGGGTTGGGTGGCGTAGGACCGGCGGGGTTACATTGGTGCCGTGACCTGGATGGGAGTGAGGTTTAGGGGGGTGAGTGTGACAGAGGCCAGCTAGTAAGTGCTGTGCAGATAAACCTCACTCCTCTGACCTCTAAAGGTGCTCTCGCGACAGACGCTAGAGGCCATGGTCTTAAGCCTCCTTGGTAGAGCAACCAACTCCCATGCGGAAGGTCGCCGGTTCGATTTCAGCTCGGAGCGGGTTGGGTGGTGTAGGACCGGCGGTCTTACAGTTGAATGAAAAAAAAAACCTGTTTAGCGGTAAAAGAATCATGAAATGTGCAGAGCGCTGATTTAGGTTATGAAGTACAAAATTATGGTGATGTTGTGGCGCAGTGGGTAGCATGTTCGTCTCACAGAAAAGAACGTTGCTGGTTCAACCCTCGGCTGGGTCAGTTCGCATTTCTGTTTGGGTTCCTTCAGGTGCTCCGTTTTCCCCACAAGCCCAAAGACATGTGGTACAGGTGAATTGAGTATGTTAAAATTGACCATTGTGTGTGTGTGTGTGTGTGTGTGTGTGTGTGTGTGTGTGTGTGTGTGTGTTTGTGTGAGAATGAATGTGCATGGATGTTTCCCAGTGATGGGTTGCAGCTGAAAGGACATCTGCTGCGTAAAACATTTGCTGGATAAGTTGGCGGTTTATTCCACTGTGGCAACCCCAGATTAATAAAGGGACTGAGTCGAAAAGAAAATTAATGAATGAATAAATGAATGAGTACAAAATTATTATTATTAAAATCATTATTATTGTTTTTAAACGAGAGGATACATTTTTAGACACTAGCACTGATTTTACCAAATGCATGTTAATTTTATATTTTTATTTTTTTTTTCAGAGCAAACAAACTATAGAAGAGCTTAATAAAAGTCTAGATGAACTGAGAACACTGGCTAATGACTTAGAAAAGATCCACTTCAACACAACAGTCGGCAGTCTTGCAGGAGGAGTGATAGGACTGGTTGGAGGTATATTATCTGTGGTGGGACTTATTTTGACTCCATTCACACTCGGAGCATCTCTGATAGTGACAGGAGTGGGAGTCGGCGTAGCAACTGCTGGTGGAGTAACAGCTGGAGTGAGCAATGTGACAAAGATAGTTAATCAGCGTTCAAACCGACAAAATGTCAAAATGCTAATAACAATGATACAAGAAAAAATTACGTCCACAAGCTGCTGCATCCAAAACATCCAGATAGCAGTTGGCACCAAACTAAAAGAGTTTCCTGAAAGCGATCAACCACAGTCAAATGCACAGTCTGAAAACAGTGATAAACAGACTTTGGCAAGTGGAGCTCGACTTGGACGAGGACTGGCAGGAATCTCAGAGCTTGCCCGTTTAGTTGAAGTCGCATCAGTTGGGAAAGTTGCAGCTCAGACTGCAAGAGTTGCTCGTGTAGCTGAAGTGGCTACTGGAGTTTTATCTGGACTGTTCATAGCTGTTGACGTCTTCTTTATTGCTCTCGACGCCAAAGAAATTCACGACCTCCGCCAAGATACAGCTTCAAGTGAGACTCAACAAGAACCAGAAAATGCAGCATCAAATAGAGGTCAAAGCCCAGAGACAACTAATGACACGTCTGAACAGAGCAAGACAAAGAATCTGACAAACACAAAGAAAAAAGAGCAAGAGCTGCGGACTGAGATTATGAAATTTGTGAAAACAATAAGGGAGACAGAGAAAGAGCTGAGCAACATTCTTGATGAATTAAGAGAAGAGCTGCAAGAACTACAACCAAAAATACCAAACTCATATGATGATGATGATGAGCTGATGATGATGATGAACAGGAGTCGCCTGTCCTTTCAGTAAAGGGTTACCATGTATCTTGGGCTTTTAGCTTCCCGTAGATCACATTTACTGCATAATACTAGCAATGCCAATATTGTGAGTTTGTTGTCCCGGAAAGCAAGAACTATTAAAATGTGTACTTTCACTCCCTCACTATCTTTTGGCTTAGTCCCTAATTTATCAGGGGTTGCCACAGCGTAATGAACGGCCAACTACTCTGGCATGTGTTTACACAGTAAATGCCCTTCCAGCTACAATCCAGCATCATACTGGGTAACATCCTACACTCTCACATTTACACACACACTCACACGCTACAGCCAATTAAGTTCATCCAATTTACCTATAGCACATAATTTGGGACTGTGGGGGAAACCAGAACACCCGGAGGAAACCAACGCCAACACAGGGATAACATGCAAACTCCACACACAAATGTCAACCGCCCAGTTGAGACTCAAACCTGTGACCTTGCTGTGGGGCAACAGTTCTATGTGAATATAAATGTCTTTCGAGATGAAAGTAGTTGCTAGTCACCAGTTCTCAGGGCAAAACATTTCAAAAAGAAACAAAGCATTTCTATTGCTGTACGTCCAATATCTCAGTGATTTTATGTGAGAGGGGAAATTTTGCTCATTTCACTTATAATATAATGTTATTATTTATTTATGTTTCAATAAATAGCAAAAACAGAGAAGAATATATATATATATCGTTTGGGGTTATTTCAATATAGGTGCTAAATTGGTACTTTTAAAACGGTACTGGTGGCAAAAGGATGCCTGAACCGCCACAAAATTATGGTGGATGACTCTAAAAAAAAAAAAAAAAATTGACAAAATTGTTTAAAAAATCCTTTTAATTGAACAATATAATTACTGTTTAAAGTAAACATCAGTTCATATTTTATATATTTAAATAGCATTAATTTTTTTCCTTTGATCATTTGTTGGTTAGCATGAATTCAAGATTAGCATCATGACATTACATTCGTTTATTACTATCCTGTGGAAAGGCTGTCATCAAAATACTGAACTCCTTTTTTTTCTAGGGTTGGGGCTTGTGACTATGTTTACATGGTTATCAGTAATCAAATAATTTGCTTTAATCTGAATAAATCAATAATATGATTAAGGCGTTTAAATTAGCTGCTTTTTGAATGTTCCTTTCATGATCCCGTCTTACATGTTATAGTACATAGATCGATTACTGTCATTGCTTAACGACGATATTCATGTTTCCTCCAGAGTTTATGTAATTTCAGGTGTTTAATTGTGATTTTTAGACAGTTTTACTTTCATTCAGGAATATTTCATTCATGCCCCCATGACAAACAGGTATTTAATGCAAGCATTAAGTAAGGACTGGCTCTTTTAATGGAATCTGATACCGCACATTAAATAAAAATAAACCTTATATTTTGCAAAGCAGTCGACTGTGGTCCTTTAAGGTAATCTTTAGTATTGACTTAATCATATTAAAATCGGTGCATTGGTGTCCATGTACGTACTCATTAAAAGTGCCAGAAGATGTTGCAAGCTTTTAGAGATGGTGCATTCTTCTGTCTTCAAGGTGATTCAATGAGCCCTCAAATGTGTCATTAAGTTTGACGTGTTTCCCCCTTACACAGAACTTTTGTAAAACGTCTTATTGTGTCAGAATCCTTGCTTGTAAAATATGCTTTTGATGAACGCGATCATGCGTGTTGATCTGAATAGAATTGCTCTCTCTCACCGAATGTGCTGCACTGCTTGCTAAGCAACAAGGATAAACGTCTGACATCACCTGTCCGTATTCCTCATTGTTTTTTTAGAATTAAATGTTTAGAGATGGTGTGACAATGCGTACCTATATATGCCTTTAATGCACCCCTGGATGCTTCTTACGTCCTTGTCACAGCATCAGTGGCACCAAAATTATTCATATGCTGATTCGGTCCAATACATACTGGTTACAATGGTACCGGTGCTAAAGGTAACTAATGTAAAAAATAAATCCGTAAAATTTACGGTAAAAAAACAGCAGCTGTGGTTGCCAGTATTTTACCGTTAAAAATACGGCACAAGCTGTAATAGTAATTTCTCATTTTTACAGTAAACTACTGTATTTCATTAATTTATAGATGTTATATGTCTATATGTTGAATTAGCAAAATCTACACATCTTTCGTTACACAGTTACACACATTAACAGCCATTTTCTGGTGGAGATGAGAAAGATAGATAGTGAACCAACGCTCATCACAAACAACTTTTCCCACAAGCAGAAATATATATCGGTGTATAGAAGATGCTCATTTTCATTCTCACAGCTACTAAACACCAGTATGGTAACACGCATAAAATTAAAGTCAAGAAATAAACATTGTTTATCAACATTAGATGTACCATAAATCTCTAATGTACATAGCAGATGAGGAAACAACTAAAAAGATCCATAGTAATGTCAAAAAAAAGCATATAAAGTGATGTGCCATGCAGGGAATTCTGGGAAAGTCAGGTTACGGTTATTCAGCGTATATATTAAGGAAACATACCGTTAACCAGGTTACGGATTTTTACTGTAGCATTTTTACAGTTTCTTTACCGTTGAAATCACGGCCATTTTTTACAGGTGGACATAGATTCATTTTTTTAAAAATCTAGATTAATCTCGTAATTGATGAAGAATAAAACGTCCCATTTGAATTCTACTGAAGGCATTCATTATATGTGTGCTAACCAAATAATAAGTCTTTGAGAACGGGTTTCTCAAGCCAGGTGTCGCATTAGACCAGGGGCTTATCTCCTGATTCCAAAATGCATCACAAACTGCTTGAGAAACTGTTCTGATATGATAATTGGTAATGAAAATAAATGATGTTCAATAAGATGTGCTTGTGCTTACTAACTGTTTATTCAGTTAAACATCAATTTTGAGCTGTAGGCCTATATAAGCTCCAAACAGTGATACTTGCTTTTGATGTATATACATACAGAAAATGCTTAAACAGTACTCTGATTAAGAGTCACCATGTAAACAGCCATTTTTGATTACCTTGATCCGACTCAAGTCATAACTGAACTGAACTGAACAAAAATTAAATTAGGACATGTGGAGTGCAGATATTAGTGGCATTACTGAAGTAAACACAGCAATCAAACTATTTCCATCATGTAGGACTTTCAACATATTTTCCGACAAGATACACACAGGTGGCTGTCAGTAAAGGACCACACACACACACACACACATCCCGACACACAAGTTTTTTTGTCTTTCCATTAGCAGTGCGTTATTAAATTCTATAACATTTCATTGTTCGGATTTAAAGAGTTGATTGAGAGAGAGAGAGAGAGAGAGAGAGAGAGAGAGAGAGAGAGAGAGAGAATGATTTTTCCTTTTAAAGTCTAACTGCTATTAGGGAAACAGCATTTTTGTTAATTGTCAATATTGTAAGTAAGATAAATGATTAATTGCAAAATAAAAATGTACATTGTAGGATCATAAAAAATTGCTAAAAAAGCTGTTTTAAACACAATTCAGATAAAATTTTTGATTAAACCTTTTTGCATTTAAGTGATGATAAAACACATCATAAAGCACATGAAGACAGAATAAAATACTTTTTGTGTTTAAAAGCAGAGACTCTGTTCATTCATTCATTCATTCATTCATTCACTTTCAACTGCTTTTTTGGGGCTGGTTTGCAAAAGCAACAGTCTTAGGAGAGAACTCCAGACTTCCCTCTCCCCAGTCAGCTCCTCCAGCTCCTCCTGGGGGATCCCAAGGCATTCCCAGGCCAGCCAAGAGACAAAGTCTCTCCAGCGTCCTCTCTGAGGCTTCCTCCTGGTGCGACATGCCTGGTACACCTCCCAAGGTAGGCGTCCAAAACAGATGCTTGAGCCACCTCAGCTTACTTCTCAGGATGTGGAGAAGCAGCAGCTCTACTCCGAGCTCCTCTTGGATGACAGAGCTCCTCGATTTAAACTCGTATGGCCGCATGTATCCAAGATTTTGAACTTTCGGTCAAGACCCAAAGCTTGAAATTATATATTATATGAGCATAGCTCATGATCATAGGTGAGAGTAGGAACGTAGATTGACCGGTAAATCGAGAGCTTTGCCTTTCAGCTCAGCTCCTTCTTCACCACACCGGACAGGTACATCAACCACATTACTGATGCCGCTGCACTAATCCGTCTGTCACTCTCATGTTCCATCCTTCCCTCACTCATGAACAAAACCCAGAGACACTTGAACTCGTCCACCTGGGATAAGGGCTTCCCCCAACCTGCAGATGGCAAACCACCGTTTCCGGCCTTGGACTTGGAGGTGTTGATTCTGATGCCAGCCGTGAAACTCTCGGCAGCAAACCACCTCAGTGCATGCTGCAGTTCAATGTTTAAAGAAAACCAACAGAACAACATTGTCTGTGAAGAACAGAGATGAAATCCTGTGGTCCCCGAACAGGACCCCCTCCAGCCCAATGCTTTGAAATTCGGTCCATAAAAATCATGAACAAAATTGGTGACAAAGGGCAGCCTTGCTGGAGTCCAACTTGCTCTGAAAACAAGTCTGACTTATTGTCGGCAATGCGAACCAAACTCCTACTTTGTTCATACAGGGACGAGACGACCCTTAACAGAGCGCCTCTGACTTTATAGTCCCAGAGCACCCTACACAAAGTGCCATGAGAGACATGATCGAATGCCTTCTCCAAATCCACAAAACACATGTGGACTGGTTGGGCATACTCCCATGAACCCTCGAGCACCCTGCTGAGGATATAGAGCTGGTGCAGTGTATCACGGCCTGGACAAAAACAACATTGTTCCTCCTGGATCCTAGATTAAACTATCGGCTGCATCCTCCTTTTCAGTACCCTGGCATACACTTTCACTATTCTGATATATAATAATCTCATAGATTCATATCAAAAAATATTTTGAACTAACATGAATGTCAAAATATGGTGAAAATCATCTGACATGCTGGTGGTGGCTGGTAACTAAAAAAACAACAAAATAAAGAAGCACAACAAATTTCCCTCAATATGGAGAGCATTCAGACTAGAGATCTGCGCGGGACTAAATTTTGAATCCCGCTCCCGCCCACACCCGCTAGGTTTTAGCCCGAACCCGACCGCTCCCGCTTATATTAAGAATTTGTTGTCCCGCTGCCCAACCCGCCCCGTTTTCTGCCCGCCGCACCCGATCCCGCTAAAGAGCGGGGGGAGAACAAAACCGAAAATCACCCAGCTATACAGTCCAGACAGCCAAGCTGTCTGTATAAACACACACACACACAGCACCAAGCACACACACACAGACAAAGCTGTCTCTCTCATACGCGCACGCACTAACACACACACAAGCACCAAGCAGACACACAGGCGTTTGCTGTTATTTCAAGTCAAAGGGTTGTAATACCATGTACAGTATCAAGTACCAATGTAATACCAAAAGGTTTTATATAAAGGTATATAAATACTGAGTCGCACCAGCTCCGGGCCGCCGCATCTGGCCCGATTGATTCGGTCCGGAATCGGGCAGTGAGTCCGGCAGCCGGAGCCGGGCCGAGTGGTAAGTCTCCGACAGGTGAGAATCTAGCCGGAACCGGCCCAAGTGTATTTTGCTATCTGGCAAAGCTCTCTCTCTCTCATTCACGCGTGCGCGCACTAAAACACAAACACAAACACAAACACAAACACACACACACACACACACACACACACACACACACACACACACACACACACACACACACACACACACACACACACACACACAGGCAAAGCTCTCTCTCTCTCATTCGCATAGCAATATCCGTGATATTGCTAGACAGCCCGCTCCCATCCCACATTAAACCCGTTAATGACCGCTCCTGCGATTAATTCGGAAATTTATTCCTGCGCCGCAGAAATCTGTCCGGGTCCCGCGGCGCCCGCGGGAATGCAGACCTCTAATTCAGACTCTATAGAAACACTGATGGTACAGCTTTAGTTTTATATGTACTGTATGGCTTATACTACATCTGTCTCCACCTGTCAGCTCTTTCAGTATGACCTGTGCTTTACAGTGACATCACTGAAATTAATGGTGGCGCCCATAGTTATAAATATGTATGCATATTGTGGATATTTTTTATTTAGTTTTTTTTTTTCTCTACATATTTCATAAATAAACATTAACTTTACATCAGAAACACAGATCTTAATGAACATGGTTCTCTTGAAGACAAATAATTGTACCTAACTCAGTAACTTCAATGCAAAAATAAACTATTGGGTCCACAAATATTTAGATGTTTGATTGAAATTTCAAGAAAAACAAGGCAAAAACATTTAAACAGGAATATAGATGAATAGATTGGTAACATTTAGAAGGACCCAGATTAAAACATATAAAGGTGGGTTGACATGTTCAATTCAGACAGACCAAAGTAGACAATTTTAAAAATGGAGGCGTATCTATCCACAATTGCTCCTTGATTGTCTCTTCTGTACTATTGCATGCCATTATCTGACTCTTCAAGCTCCTCTCCTATGACCGTTACACTTTAGAAAGATGACAATAATAAGCACTTCTGAACGTATTCCCAGTGTGATTGAAAGGTCATGTGAAAAAATGTAAAGTTTTATTGTGTTGACAGTGATTGTTGCTTTGAAACACAGGGAAAATGCCATTATGAGAAGTGTTTTCATTCTAAAATGAAGTTTTAAAACAACATCACATTAGCATAAACACAGCTCTACCATATTAGGGAATTCACCAACAGTAAACCCATAAACACCAAGGAAAAGCAAACACTGCAATATTACGCAAGAATATTCTGAATTCATTCAAGTCAAACTCATCACTTTAATCTGAAGTAATCGTCATCAGTTAACAGGTCTGTTAAGTGATGTCTGTTTCTACTAGTTCAGGACACTGCTAGTTCTCATCTTTGCTTTCTTTCAATATGAAAGTCTTTGCAAGACACTCATTAGTCTCTGTCTCCATCTTATGGTGGAACAACGTAAGGAGGAGTCTAAATCACTTATGCATACAAAGACTGTGCTGTTATACAAAATACTTTTATTAAATGCTAATATTACAGAAAAAAAGCATTTATTGAACAGGAATATTTAACAAAACAACAATAAAAAGATGCTAAGCCAATCAGTTAAACTATTAACGTCCATGTTTCAATATAGCATACAGTTCTGAACAGAAATGAATAAAGACAGCGACAGACAAACTCAGGCAATGCACTCAATTTAAATGCATATCAGTGATCAACGGAGATAGAAAGTGTTGTTTTAAATTAAAATGTTAATGACCCAGATCAAGAAATACAGTTACGTAGAGATGTATGTCCAGAGATGTTTTTGAAATGACACATTGTAAATTCACATTTTTCGTTGAATTATAAATTCAGTTTAACAAACTACACAAGCATTGAAATGTGTTTGTAATAGTAGAATGTAATACTTATATTTGACTCATTCAGTAGTCAAATGTTACACCCATCTATGCAATACAGAACACTGCCGTAAGTTTGCATACAACCATAAACTATTTTTCAAACTTAAACTGTGCATATTTTTAGCATTATATGTTTATAGGGGTTGATCCTATAACTGTTCATTTTAAATAATGTTTTCATTTTTAGCTTACAGTGGGGGAAATAAGTATTGAACACATTGTCATGTTTTGTCCGGGGATTAATATTCCTAGAGGAGCTGTTGACATGAAATTGAAGCAGATTTTGGTAAAAACCCAAATAATACAAACATAAAAACAAAACAAATCTGAACAGTGAGTTGTGTGTAATAAGAATGGTATGACAAGGAGAAAAAGTACTAAAAACACATTAAAAACTACTAAAATGTGTTGAATACTTTATATGAAATGCTTTTTTTTTTTAATGACGGCAGCTTAAAGACGCCTCTCATGTGGAGAATGAAGTCGCATGCATTGCTCAGGTGTGAGTTTCTCACAGACTTTAACAGAGTGTCAAAATCTTGATGGTTCTTTGGGTTCAGTCTTTCGAATTTGATCTTTACTTTGTGTTTTCCATTGGATTAGGTTCAGGTGATCGGCTGGGCCATTCTACAGCTTGATTTTCTTTCCCTGAAAGCATCTGATTGTCTCCTTGGCTGTGTTTTGGATCATCGTCTTGCTGAAATGTCCACTCTGGTTTCATCTTCATCCTCCTGCTAATGTAGATGTTGGACTGAAGCAGCTGATCTTCACACTAAGGAAGGGCAGAGGGTAGCTGAGGAACTACTGAGAGATTTCAGCAGCTGTCTAGGCTTTCACTGTCGAACTACATCTCCCTTTCTTAATGCATTCAATACTTCTATCTGTCATTTCACTTTATTACACACAACTTCATTTGTAAACTAATTCGATCTGTTTTTTTTTTTTTTTTTTTGCACATGTGGATTTCTTTGGTTATTATCGACATCCGGGAAATTTTTCAAGTCAACATCACAATTAGAAAAATGTTTTCTGAGAAAAATGGTGACGTGTTGAATACTTGTTTTTTCCCTAGTACATTTTGTGAATGTTTACTTATGTTTACACATAATATTCAACATCAATTTACATCTGGATTTCAGCATTTAACAAAGTATATCCACTTTTCTTTATAAAGCGAGAAAATGTAATTATTTTATATAATATGATAGTTGCTGGTTGTCCTCGATCAGGGAGATAAAATAAAGGTCAGGTAGAATTCAAATAGTTTACATTCTGTCAGTTATTTTTGAGCTTTCTTTCACTATATTTCTCAGCTGACAAATAGTCTTCTTCATTTCATTAATCATTTGCTCTGTTTGTTTCTTAATGTCCCTTACATTTACTTCTTTATAAGTGGCATCGACGGGTTTGTCATATTGCCTCCTGCGTTCTTCTGTGATCTCTTTGATGATATCAGACACAGAGGTAACCTTGGCGATCATATGTGAAAGGTTTCCAGACAAATGCTTCATTTTAGACATCTGGTCTCCCTCTTTACTGAAGTCCACTTCCTGAAAGAGGCGCATTTTATCAAAGAAGGCAAGACGTTCACGTAATACCTGGGCTTTCTGGTATTTTAGCAAGAGTTCACTCATTATTTCCTCAGTGCGCTGACACATTGTTTCCAGAATGTCAATAAGAGGTGTAATTTTATCCTGAAATTCCTTCAGTTCCTCTTCAATGACTCGTTTTAAGTTTTTCACTTTCCTTTTTTTCTGGAATTTCCCAAAAACAACTAATAATCCAGAAACTACAGTCAGAGCTGCTCCTGCTGCGATAGCCATGACAGAATCATCGTCATCATTTAAAAATAAAGATGAAATTGATAGCACAAATGCAATTATTCCTGCTACTGCTCCTCCTTTAAAGGCATTAATAAAAATTCTGCTATCATTTTTAAACTGGTCGATGTGATCGAGGACATTTTTCATATGTTGATCACACTGAGGAGAAATGTCCTTATTAAGTCTATTCAATTCCTCATTGAGATGAACAAGATCAGATCTAAAAGAAAAAAAAAACATTTGAGATTCTTACACTATACAATTTTATACAGCATTTATTATTTTTATGTGAACATTTCTATACTTATACAATCATTACTGTTTATACATACACACACACACACCGGCCACTTTATTATGTACACCTGCCCAACTGCTCATTAGCGCAATTTTCAGCCAATCACATGACAGCACAGCAGCTCAATGCATTTAGGCATGTCGACATGGTCAAGAGGATCTGCTGCAGTTCAAAGCGAGCATCAGAGTGGGGGAGAAAGGGGATTTATAAGACTTTGATCGTGGCATGGTTGTTGCTGCCAGACGGGCTGCTCTGAGTATTTCAGAAACTGCTGATCTACTGGGATTTTCGCGCACAACCATCTCTAGGGATTACAGAGAATGCTCAGACAAAGAGGAAATATCCAGTGAGCGGCAGTTCTGTGGGCGCAAATGCCTTGTTGAACGAGGTCAGAGGAGAATGGCCAGACTGGTTCCAGCTAATAGAAAGGCAACAGTAACTCAAATAAGCACTCGTTACAACCGAGGTCTGCTGAAGAGCATCTCTGAACACACAACACGTCCAACCTTGAGGCGGATGGGCTACAGCAGCAGAAGACCACACCGGGTGCCGCTCCTGTCAGCTAAGAACAGGAAACTGAGGCTACAATTCACACAGACTCACCAAAACTGGACAATAGAAGATTGGAGAAACGTTGCTGCTCTGATGAGTCTCCATTTCTGCTGACACATTCAGATGGTCAGAATTTGGCCTCAACAACATGAAAGCATGGATCATCCTGCCTTTCAATGGTTCATGCTGGTCCATCCCTTTATGAGCACAGTGTCTTCATCTTCTGATGGCTACTTCCAGCAGGATAACAGCCTGTCATGAAGCTCAATCATCTCAGACTGGTTTCTTGAACATGACAATGAGTTCACTGTACTCAAATGGCCTCCACAGTCCCCAGAGCTCAATCCAATAGAGCAGCTTTGGGATGTGGTGGAAGGGGAGATTGGCATCATGGATCCGCAGCCGACAAATCTGCAGCAACTGTGTGATGCTATCATGTCAATATGGAGCAAAATCTACGAGGAATATTACCAGTAGCTTGTTGAATCTCTGCCACAAGGATTAAGGCAGTTCTGAAGGCAAAAGAACGTCCAACCCGGTCCTAGTAAGGTGTACGTAATAAAGTGGCCTGTGAGTGTGTGTATAAAATTGTGTTAAACACTTAAACACTCACTCAAATAATGTCATCTAATTTCCTGACAACTCTTGAGAAACAACAATTTAATGAAATGAATCTAAATGAATCTCTCACGACAGGTTTGTTGGTAGGTCCATGCTGTTGCGTCGACGGCGGGGTCTAGGTGAAGCCATTGTTGCTGTTATTAAAACAACACAAGTTTTACTTATTATGTGTGTATCACTCCTGGGGGCTGATTCATAAAAGTGGTTAAGAAAGCGGAGATTAAAGTTGAAAACCCGACTTCAATGAGCCGAACTAAACGTCCACGCTTAAATTGGTTCCATAACAGCAAGCTGAAGATCATTTGATTATATTATATTATAATTACTTTTATTATATTATATTATATTATAATTACTTTTATTATATTATATTATAATTATTATATTATATTATATTATATTATATTATATTATATTATATTATATTATATTATAATTACTTTTATTATATTATATTATATTATAATTACTTTTATTATATTATATTATAAGTACTATTATTATATTATATTATATTATATTATATTATAATTACTATTATTATATTATATTATAATTACTATTATTATATTATATTATAATTACTTTTATTATATTATATTATATTATAATTACTTTTATTATATTATATTATAAGTACTATTATTGTATTATATTATATTATATTATATTATAATTACTTTTATTATATTATATTATATTATATTATAATTACTTTTATTATATTATATTATATTATATTATAATTACTATTATTATATTATATTATATTATATTATATTATATTATATTATATTATATTATATCTTGCTTCCTTAACAAATTGACTACCTATTTTAAACATCTCTTCTTTAATAATTCATTTTTAGAAGCACAATTTATTTGTTATGCTAGGAAAGGTTGGAATTGTTCTAGTAGAAACTGTTGGTTAAAGTAAAACAGTACTGGGCAAATGTCAGTAAAACTGCCATAAAAGATTGAACTAACTGGCTGGCTGGCTCCAAGTCCCTCAAATATGTTTAAAGATGAACAAAGTAGGTTTGACTGCTTATTCCCTCTATCCCACATTACCAGAGAACACAGATTTGAGTGTTGGCACATTAAATTATTGCAAATACTGGAAAAAATTAGAAAAAATACAGTGTATGCACACATCAAATTTAATGTTTGCACAAAAGAATGTAATCTACATCAACATTTTATGTTAGAATTATTGATAAGTCACACTATGATCATTGAATTTCATATAATACAACAATAAATAAAAATAAATAAATAAATAAGTCTCTCATATAAAGGCTAGATGGCTGGTTGACAAGTCTGTTTACAAAAAGTTTATTTATCTGAATCAAATTTTTACCTGTAATGTGTGTATTAATTGACCTGAACCCCACAGTGCAGTGTCAATGGGGCTTACACTGGGCATCAGTCAGTCTTCTTTAAGCTTCTCATAACCTGTCAACAGTACAACAATCTGACATTAAATTATTATTATTTGGAAAAAAAAAATTATATTATTTAGTTAGTTAGTTTTAGTTAGTTAGTTAGTTAGTTAGTTAGTTAGTTAGTTAGTTAGTTAGTTTTAGTTTCTTTTGGCTTAAACTTAAATCACATGACTATGCTTGAATTTCTTTTTACTTTGTCTTTTTGCTCATTTTAACTGTGTTAAGTGTGAAATATCTTGTGCATTCAGCAGAGGAAAGAAACTCATTCTGGTCTGAAACAAGTAGAGCATGAATAAAAATATATAAATAAATAAAATAATGAATGAGCCATCCCATTTATTATGTTGTACTATAAGAAAACAGTCAAAACTGTCCTTAATAGTCTGGTTTCTCCACAAAGGCTCAAAATGAAAGCAAATAACTGATTAAAAGCAAGGAATAGCTGACTGTGAAATCATTCAGCGTAGTGATATGAAGCTGTAAAGTGCTCAAAACCTGCCGAAACGGCTTCATTAACTGCGTGTTGATGCTCATCAGTGTGTAGAATGCTCATCAATAAGAATCAAGCATTCAAATTTATAACACACTAGTAAAACAAAGTTTGAATGACATCACAGGCAACATTTTGTCTGTTTGTCACATAAAACCTGATGGTCAGGCCTCCTGTCAGCACGTCACTATTGTGCTCACAACTATTTACTTACTCCAGTAGATCCTGGAGAACAAACAACCCTGAGGGCATCATTTGCATGAGTCCTTGCAAGTCTGATGCTTTCGATTTAGTGAAAACGTGGCATGTTCATCTGCTGTATTTCTAGAAAATGTTAAATGACCAAAGGTAATATTCAGGGTTTTAGATAATTTCAAAATAATTGTGCTTTTGTTTACAATTATTAAATGATTTATAAATACAGTTGAAGTCAGAATTATTAACCCCCTTTGATATATATTTTTTTGTGTCTTTTTTAAAATATTTCCCAAATGATGTTTAACAGGGCAAGGAATTTTTCACAGTATGTCTGATAATATTTTTTTTTCTTCTGGAGAAAGTCTTATTTGTTTTATTTCAGCCAAAACAAAAGCAGTTTTTAATTTTTTAAGCACCATTTAAGGTCAATATTATGAGCCCCTTTTAGCCATCTAATTTTTCAATGGTCTACAGAACAAACTATAATGTCTAGAAATGTGCTGAAAAAAAATCTGCTCTCCGTTAAACAGAAATTGGGAGTAAAAAATAATTCAAGGGGGCTAATAATTCTGACTTCAACTGCACATATATACAAGCATATTTAAATAAAATATTAATGAAACAGTGACCAGAACAAACTCCTCCTGCCCTTAAACCCCTCAGAAACACTTTTGTTTTTGTGAATTGTGGGAACAGATTTCCAATGTTATTATATGGTAGAATCTAGGCATGTGCCAGTGAAAGTTTCTTACAGTAAGAGAGCCATGGATAAAAACATCACTGTTTCACCATATTGTAATTGTTGCGGTACAGTAAGTTGTTTTTAAATGTTTGGGTAATAAACAAAAACTCCCCCTACCCCATATATTATATAAAATAAATCAATGACTTCTGCTGTCTTCATTACTTTATAAAGCACAGATTTATTTATAAAAAAATAAAAATAAAGAAAAACACATAAAAATCTTACGTTTAAAACCTTGACTTTTCCAAACCATGTTAAACCTTGAAATTGGTTATTGTACCATGTCTAGTACAAACACTATTACCATACATAGAGTCAAAGTTGGTTTTATGTATGCATATTCGTTCATTTAGCAGTCTCCATATTGTTTCCCTAAACCCAACCCTCACAGGAAACAGTGCAGCTTTATTTTCCGGAAAGAAAAACTCATTCTATGTGAACACAAAAGCATGTACACACATTTGCAAATTCAGAAATGGCTGTAAGATATGTAAAAACTTATTTATCAATATAACAAATCACTCTTACCTCAACCCTTCTTTAGTTAGCAGTGCTGTGTTAGCAATGATTGATACCTGTTTCCGTCATGGTGCAAAGGCATGCAGGCAGTCGAGCAGGTACACAAGCGGCAGGCACTTTTTTCCAGGGGTTTCAGTACAGCGTAACCGCTACTACGTCATCGAGTGGGCGTGGCCTATCTGTGAATTTGCATAGGTCACGGATCATGCGCAGATTGTGAAAACAGCCGTTAGATTCAGATACCTGTACGTATTCGCAGGGGTTTCGTGTCAAATGCCTTTTATATGCAGTACTAAATAGCTGTCCTGATCGCAGGTGTTTCATGTGAAGTCAGTGTATGTTATATTAAACAAATTAACTTAAGATACCTCTTAGATTACATTAATACTGTTATAACTTAAGATACCTGTCCCGATCCTACAGCTTTTGTGTCAAATACTTTATATATCATATACAGTAGCATCAGATACCTGTCCTGATGCCAGGGGTTTCATGTATAATTACTTTTATATTAGTTAACATCAGATACCTGACCTGATCCCAGGTGTTTCATGTATGATCACTTTTATATTATATACATTAACATCAGATACCTGTCCTGATCCCAGGGGTTTCATGTATGATCACTTTTATATTACATACAGTAACATCAGATACCTGTCCTGATCTCAGGGGTTTCATGTATGATCACTTTTATATACAGTAACATCAGATACCTGTCCTGATCCCAGGGGTTTCATGTATGATCACTTTTATATTATATACATTAACATCAGATACCTGTCCTGATCCCAGGGGTTTCATGTATGATCACTTTTATATACATTAACATCAGATACCTGTCCTGATCCCAGGGGTTTCATGTATGATCACTTTTATATATATTAACATCAGATACCTGTCCTGATCCCAGGGGTTTCATGTATGATCACTTTTATATACAGTAACATCAAATACCTGTCCTGATCCCAGGGGTTTCATGTATGATCACTTTTATATACAGTAACATCAGATACCTGTCCTGATCTCAGGGGTTTCATGTATGATCACTTTTATATTATATACAGTAACATCAGATACCTGTCCTGATCCCAGGGGTTTCATGTATGATCACTTTTATATTATATACATTAACATCAGATACCTGTCCTGATCCCAGGGGTTACATGTATGATCACTTTTATATTAGTTGACATCAGATACCTGTCCTGATCCCAGGTGTTTTGTGTATGATGACTTTAAATAAAAATAGAAAATAAATATGAGTTATGTTAATTAACTAAGATCGAGAAAGAAAAATTAACCACGATTTATTACAGAAAATGTGGTATTTATTTGTTTAAACATGACTGAATACCATATTTTAAACTACAAAAACACGGTTAATCTTACCACAACCATTATTATTTGGTTTAAAATGGAAGTACAAAAGCCCAGAGACAGTAAAACGGAGTAAAACGGATTAAAACTAGGGCAGCTGTTCTTGCTAATGAAATCTTTAAAATATAACATTATAACAACAAAAAAATAACCTGTATGATTGTTTTTTCCTTCGTTATCCACCGCGGTAGGTTCTTTATCCATAATCATCCTGTTTGAAATGACCGCGCTAAAAAAGAACCTGTACTGCGCATGATCGGTGACCTCTCAGTATTGTTTTTTTTTTTAAGGGGGCGTTTCCCAAACACCGACCGAGCCACGCCCATTTTACGTCGTGGTAATGAAACCCCTGGAATTTAGTGCATGCCGTACACAAGCAGACAGGTACAGCAGATAGACTCAAGTCAAACAGCTGAACTGTCTCAAATCCAGAAGCATCAACATTTGTGGTTGTGTTATTATCCAGAGACAACACAAATTAACGAGCAACAAAAGCAAATGTAGAACAAAACCTGCTGCAACAAAAAAACTGCTTTCCTGTCTACCTTCTTCTTTGACTTTTCCTGGTGGTTGACAAACCTGCTTTTGGTGCACATACTGCCACCTACTGATGGAGTGTGGGATATATAGGCAACAGAAAAATTCTTGGCAAGACTTTAGTTTTTTGACAATTTATATTAACAAACCTTTAACATACACCACTAGCTTAACACACTATAAATTAGCTACTCAATAATAGTTAGGTAGTAGAGAGCTGGGTTTAGGTTTTGGTTGAATTAGAGATGCAGAAAAGGTTATACTTTATAACTACAAAAGAACAGTTAATATCTTAATATATAAATAGGCAGGTAATAAGCCAATAGTTAATATCATGCATTGTGACCTAAACTAAAGTGTTACTGACTCCTTTTTTCTGTTAGGTTGTTTTGTTTTGAAATATAAATATTAGCACTATGTTTTATTAATATTAAATATATAACATAACTGGAACAAGTGTACTAAAATAAATAAATAACTTAAATAAAAATATTAAATTACAGACATAAAAAACGAAACTATATAAATCTAAAAAGAAAAATATGTAAATAAAGGGTGTAAATAAAAAACAAAAATCAATTTGCTGAAACTGTTTATTATTCAGTATTTTTATGTATACTCATTTACCTACTAACAGATTACTAAATGTATAAAACAATGTTAATTCGTTGCTCATGCAGTGTTGAATAATAAATGATTTAGCTCTTCACGAGTTCCTCATTTACTCATATTAGTGCACCCATATTGTAAAGTGTTTCTCAAGCTTCTCTTGGGTTTATAAAGGTTTTGTTTTTCTCCATTTGAAGATGTCTGTGTGCAGTAGAAAACAGATTATAATGGGTAACACAATCATACAAATCCAATGTCATTCATTCATTTTCTATTCGGCTTAGTCCCTTATTCATCAGGGGTAGCCACAGTGGAATGAACCGCCAGCTATTCCAGCATATGTTTTACACAGCAGATGCCCTTCAAGCCACAACCCAGTCCTGGAAAACAAGCATGCACTCTCACATTCATTCATGCACTACGGACATTTTTACTTTTACTTTTTTACAATTCACCTGTACCACATGTCTTTGGACTGTGGGGGAAACCAGAGCACAGTACTTAAATGCAGACAATACAACAAACGTTATTCAATGTGTTCCATTCACATTCACATCAAGACTGAAAACACATTCATTTAGCTGTGCTGTTACTAAATGAGCACTGAGCTACAGCCCACAGATCACAAATATGTCTTTCTTTTTTTCATTATTTTATAATGTTTTTAATCACTGTTATTATTTGTTTTTATTTCTTTGTTTCTTGCCACTGTGTATGAAATGTGCTACATAAATAAACTTGTCCATTGTGAACAAAATTACACACAGAAATCATCATAAATTCATGCATAGCAGAAAAGTATTATTCCGTGCATGTAATTATTTTTACAGTTATGCTATTAAATTGTTCAAAGAATATGAAAAACACAACATGCATACAGGTAGAAAAAGTACTAATATACACTGAAAATATATATATATATATATATATATATATATATATATATATATATATATGACAGTGATGACAACAAAAGTTGTTTATGCTGCTTTAACTTATTTTATTAAGTTAATCCGATTTAAACATTTTTTAAGTAACACAAAGTTTAACTTAACACTTTTTTGTCTGTTCAACTGATTTAAGTTGAAATGAGTAAATTAAATGTAATTTGATTTAATAAAATATAAGCTGCAAGATTTCTTTTACAGTGTACAGTGTATAATTCTTTTAATCAGTTCTTTTATTATTAATATGTTTTATTAATTTGTCATAATTATATGTTGAAAGTCGTTTACTTGACACGTTAGTCACTTGGCACTGAGCACATTTTGATTTCACTGAATCTAGACAGACATACTACATATCTCAAAAGATGTTGGTGCATGCTGGATGATATCTATCTATCTATCTATCTATCTATCTATCTATCTATCTATCTATCTATCTATCTATCTATCTATCTATCCATCTATCTATCTATCTATCTATCTATCTATCTATCTATCTATCTATCCATCTATCTATCTATCTATCTATCTATCTATCTATCTATCTATCTATCTATCTATCTATCTATCTATCTATCTGTCTCTCTCTCTCTCTCTCTCTCTCTCTCTCTATATATATATATATATATATATATATATATATATATATATATATATATATATATATATATATATATATCAACAATATGGTACTACTGAAGTCAAGGGGATAATTAAAAATAACCTGATTTAATAAGTAATCAACAGTTCTAGAATGGCTTTGCCAATGGTAATGGTTTGTACATCTTTCATAACCTTTTATGAAAAATAACTTTTGCAGAGGGAGTAGAACTGTATCTAAAGAGTTATTCTTAGTTTGTGAGTTTATCAATTCTGTTCATTTTATACATTAATGAATGTTTCAAATAAATAAAAAAATGTCAGATGATATACAGTGATATTGAGTTTACTGCAGGAATACCACTCCTTTGTGGCATTTTTGGAAGTTGAATAATTTGTGGTGAGGACTGATGATAATTCTCTGATTTTAAAAGAAACAAAGACTTGAAATGATATTAGACCCAATAGATCTGTGTGGGATCATAACCCTTCATTCTTCAATCAAATGAAAGCAGAGGCGGAGTTTCTGCTGAGGTGTTTGCAGTGTTTGTGTTGTCAGTTATGGATAACTTTTAATAATGGAGGTCAGACTTGTGGTTGCTGTTTTAAGTTTTCCAGGGCCGTATGACTTTACAAATCTTGAATATTACAATGTTGTTAGATATTACAATTATAAGAACATGGACAGCAACGTGCACAATAGACCAGCTGATTCAGTATTTCCTAGTGACATAAGGCGCACTTGTCTTCAACAAATCAACAAATGCTTCTTAAGATAATCACCTACTACACCTTTAACTAATTTTAATAAAGTAACCAATAATTTTGTAAAAATTTTATTATTATAAATTGTACAATATTAACAATTTTATTCCTCTAGATCTGAATTTATTCGTCTCAAAGAGGAATTTATTTCTCTTTATGATCAACATTATGCTGAACTGCAGCGGTCCATAGACAAACTGCATGAAATCATGAATACGTTTGAAGAAGACTTCAGAAGTGCTACTAAAGGCTCTCGACTTGGAG